GAGAGAGAGAGAGAGAGAGAGAGAGGCTGATGAAGAGAAACATGCGATTTTCTCCTACAAGGCTACGGCCCTTGCACTCCTGCATACTCGATGGCCTGGAACGAAACCCGTCGAGCCTGCGCTTGGCTGGTATCCTGCACCACTTGGACGGAGATGGCGCTAGTGACGGGCACTCTGATTCTGGCAAGGGCGTCTGTGATCGGGAGATTCAGATTCACGTTCATGGAGGATGGCCCCCCCAGTATGCTGAACAGTGACGTCACGTAGTTTGGATTTCCCGATCTTGGGGTGTCGACCGTCGCGTCGGGCTGATTGATGAACACGTGTAAGACGAGCGGCTGGCTAGCGTCGAACCGCAGCTGTTGCAGCCTGATAAGCGGGCGAGCCGCCGGTTCGGGGCTGCGCAAGGGCGAGCTCAGAGCTACAGACACGCGGTCGTTCGCAGTTCCAAGCACCACCGGCCCTGAGTTCGTGGACAAGCTAATATTAGAAAGAGGTGGGGAGGGGGGGGGAGCTGTCTGCAACAGAAGTCGAGACATGCGCCTACGTGCAGTTATCCACGTGTTCGACACAGCCTGGTACGAGTACCTAAGATTGCCGGACGTGCTCAGCACATCTCTCACACGTATCGTCCTGGCCCTCGCGTTCTCGTCGTAGAAGGTATAGGCGGAATCGAGCCAGGCCGTGCTGGTGGGGTTTGCGCGGATCCCCGAGAGTCCCAGCCACACGCTCCACAGACGGTCGACGTTGGCATGATGGGCGTAAAAGATGGGGTCCAAGGAAGCCCACTCCAGCCGTCCCATCTCACGCCCGTCACTCTCCCGGCCAACTGCATTGTGTACACCGTTGTGACTGGTCCACTCCAGACTCCCGGGATTCCCATTTGTCGGCCCGCCGAAGAACGTCGACTGGCCAGCATCGCGGACACTCGCTCTCATGATCTCCGTAGCCGTCGCTAGTAGAACGCCGTTGGCTAGGTTGGTTGCTGAGGCACGATTGGCTGTGTACAAGGAGGAGTTGGTGGCTCTGAAAGCCGCTGGGAAAGTTCGACCGGTACTGCTGTCCCAGTTCCAGAACCCCAGCGCGAATGCGCTGTCTCCCGAGGCCCATGCCAGGATCCTCTCGTGGTAGTAGAGGTACATCCTGTGCCATGGCAGGAAGTACCAATTGCTGTGCACCTGGAAGGCGTCTCCGTAGGCTGGCGGAGAGGCGCAGAATGCGCAGTGTGTCCTCCTCTGCTGCTCCAGACTGCGCGGATCCGAGCTGGCCAAGCTGCGCAGCCTGCTGTAGGCGGCATTGATCCGCGTCACGTACGTCGTGCTCTGCAGGGCGGTCTGCAGAGCTGGCCGAGTGTGCAGCGGAATGGAGTTGTTGACTGCAAATGCAGTGGCTGCGACGGTCGGACGGACCATGCAGCAGTCGGCAGTCTGGCTGCAAGTAGACAGATTGGGAGGGCCGATTTGCGCTGCAACCTTCCATCGCGCCTGACCTCCGGAGTAGTCGCTGCTGCTGAGGATTGCCACCACCATAGCCAGCATGAGGAGGACCATGCGGCTGCTCTGTTGACGGAGCAGAGAACCGAGCAGAGGGCTTCGAACCGGCCCGACGCYGGAGCGTGCCACTCTTCTCTGTGTCACCATATCTTCACGGCAGCTGTTCSCTGACGTGGCAGATGCGTGGTTCCGTACGACAGACTGSAGATGACGCGTGRCAAGAGGGTTGTCATCCCCTCGGTGGCCAGATTGTCCTCTCTCCATCTCCCTTTCTCCCATCAGCCGCGAGCCACCAATCRTACGGTAGACATCAACTGGCAAGGCTTCAGCGAGTTCCTCTGGAGCAATAGCAACAGCAAGAGGAGGATGTCCGCCTTCCTCTCTCCTCCAACGTGGCACGTGCAAAAACGACACTGATCCCACAGCCTGAGGGCCTGCAGCGTATGCCCACCCACGCCGGTCTAAGGACATCCCTCGGTCGCCGCCTCGACCAGGTCACATGGTGTTTAGAAAAGAAGCCGGCTTTATTTATTTGCGAAGCCCGCAAGCACAACTCTCTCTCACAGCGTTCAAGGGAACAGCTCAGTCTCTGTAGATCGGCCCTTCACCCGAACAGCTATCACCTATGGAAATGGTTGACCTTTTAGACGGGGGGGGTGAGAGGGGGCGAATTAAGAAGATAGACCGTTTAAAGGGGGTTTGGAGCGTCGCTTTCTTCTGACAGACAGGAAGATGCAGAGGGGTCTTGAGGGTAAGGGCAAGGGCCGCGGAGCAGTGAATGGGGTTAGCCAGGGCGTAGTTGCACAGCTCGCCATCCGCCATCATTTTGAATGCATCTGGGGAAACGCATCTGGACAATAATCTGCCCAGATGCATTCAGAACTTGGGCGGATGGCGAGTATCCCACAACGTATTTCGAACAGAAAGAACCACAAAGCATTTCGAACAAAAAAACGAAAGCAGGCACCTTGGCATTCGGCCCGTATAATTTTTTTTATTTTTTTTTTTGCCGAATCCCACAGCCCCCGAGCGTCGAGGAGGTCTATCACAAGAAGTGTGGCGGAAAGCGTCCAGGGTAAGGGCCTCGTTCCACACCACTAAAAATGTAAGGACCCTCAGAAAATCATCTTTCCACCACTCCCTAATGACGAAAAAACCGAACTGCAGAATGTTTCCACATTGTCGGCTTTTAGGGTCCGCCCTCATTTTTTAGGGCGGCCCAGGCGGCCCAGGCAGTCCAGTTGATGTAGCTCAGTGGTTAGAGCACCCGTTGGAAATGCGCATTGTGGTATGAGGTTGCGGGTTCCAAACTCCGCAGCCTTGCGCATGGACACCGGCAGGGCGTTAGAATGACGGACGGCTGGACACACACACCCCTGGGCTGACATGGTACTATTACAGACACTGCCTGCACACCACCCTGGGGTCAGTCCATGGGTGTTGTATGCTGGCCTAGACTTCACGTTCGTTGCTGGTTGTTGTTGGCTTTGGTCTCTCTGATGATCTCCCCCAGCCCAGACATTACACACAGTATACCTACTTCCTATGGAAGTACATGTGGTAGAGCCCTCCATACTGTAGGTCACGGGTTCGAGTCTGGTTTCGGACTTTCGGGGGAGTCCTGTCCAGATAGACCTGTCTCTACCACATACATCCACACACCGAGATACCACCCCAGATATCACAACTACGATACATACCATACACACATACTGTACACTCACCTTGCAGATGCTCCATGGTGGGGAGCAGCATCTGCTATGAAATCGGGTCCACATACACGTAACGAACATACACATAACGAACATACACATAACGAACATACACATAGCCTACGGACATACATCTCTAAGATACAGAGCACAGATACACATTCACAACCATAGGGCTGGGACAAGATCACGATCAACCGATAATGATGATAGGCGTTCGATGATAAGTATCCCCCTTAAACCACCAGTACCTGGCCCAGCTATCAAGTCCGAGCCTCGGCCGACCGGTAGGCGGATCCGTGCCGAGGCTCGGACTACCGGGCGTTCAATTCCCGGAGCTGCCCTTTGAAAGAAACACAACGCAACGAGTAAAAAGAAAAGAACAAGCAAGAAAA